CCCGTGGCGGAGGCCGGGTGGGCTGGGTCACAATCAAAGAGTGGGATTCCTTGTAGGACAATTGCTGAGGGGGAGATTGTTGTAGGTAGTATCAATTGTCCCGTGGTAGAGGTTAAGTGAGCCGGGTCACAATCGAATCGTGGCGCTTGACTGTTACTCTTAAATAAAAAGAGTTGAGCTAGTGGTAAGCGTTCGGTCCTATCAGCTAATATAAAGTATATAACTAGAATGGAAATCTCATATTACAAACTAATTTTATAAGATGAAGTTAGACCTAAATAGAATATATAAGAATTATAGAAACTTTACCTTAAGTTAGATCTAAGTTTAAATTATAAAAGAGTATCAGCATGTCTTTGTAGAGAAGTTTCTGTGAGAAATCAAATAGTATTTTAGGAAAGAATAAATAAGGAAATTTGTATATTTCCTTGTAATCTGTACAGATTTGGATAATTAGGAACAATCCCATAAATCAAGGGATCCTAGCATAAAATAGAGTTATTATATTTCCTAAAATAGTTTAGGTCTCTTGTATATATCTTATATCATCTCTTTGTATTGAAATAATAAAATAAATCATATTTCAGTTAATCTATTTTTCCAGATGGTATCGAGCTTCCGATCTAGGAAGCTCGTCTGCTCGATAAACCCTAAGACGGCAGCTGCATTGCTGCCGCATATTTTGTAACCCTAAGACGACGTACTGCATTGCTGCTGCATTTTTCTTAATCCTAAGACGACGACCTGCATTGCTGCTGCATTTTTCATAATCCTAAGACGACAGACTGCATTGTTGTTGCATCGCACCTTTTGCTATAATGTCAAGGGAAGAGGAGATAGAAAGGGTGAAAACCATTCTTAGTAAGCTGGAAAAACCTACAGGTATGTGTTCTTTGGCATACTCAGGTAAGTTTCCACCTTCTTTTGGATTAAATGTCTCAGATAAGCCTTTTAACCATTATTGGATATTGGACTCCGGAGCCACAGATCACATGACACCATTAGCCAAACACTTCTCCACATATTCCCCATGTCCCAAGCAACAAGAAAATTGCCACAAGCGAGATGGAACCCTTATAACTGCAGCTGGTCAAGGAAATATCCAAATCAATCCTTTAATAACTTTAAAAGACGTTCTCCATGTCCCAAAGTTGTCCACGAACCTAGTGTCTATACAAAAACTTATAAAGGATTTGTCATGTAAAGTTGTTTTTTCCAATGATCATTGTGTATTTCGGGATAAGGATTCTGGGAGGATGATTGGACATGCTAGAGAATGGAATGGCCTTTATTATCTCGAAGATCCAAGTCTCGTCTAGCAAGAATAGAATCTCTCACTCCTTCATATCTCGAATCCTTGATGACCAACGAGAGAAAAATCATGCTTTATCATTGTCGGTTGGGACATCCCTCTTTTGGAGTGATCAAAATTATATTTCCTCTCTCGTTTACCAAGTTAGATGTTGAGAGTCTTCATTGTGAGGTGTGTGAACTTGCTAAGCACAAACGTATATCTTTTCCAATAAGTAATAGAATTAGCAATTTCCCTTTTTATCTTGTTCATACTGATGTATGGGGACCTTCTAATATTCCAAATGTGTCTCGGTACTCGATGGTTTGTCACCTTTATAGATGACTCTACAAGGGTCACTTGTGTTTTCCTACTTAAACAAAAATCAGAAGTCAATTCTGTCTTCCTAAACTTTCACTCCATGATAAAAAATCAGTTTGGTGTTAATATTAAGAGGCTTAGGTCAGATAATGCCAAAGATTACTTCAATCATGTCCTTAATTCTTTTTGTCAAAAAGAAGGTATAATTCATGAGTCCTCTTGTGTCAAAACACCACAACAGAATGGGGTCGCAGAGAGGAAAAATGGACATCTATTAAATCAGACTCGGGCATTGTTGTTCCAAAAAAGTGTCCCAAAAAATTTATGGGGGAAGTCGTCCTTACAAGAACATACCTTATCAATAGACTACCCTCTAGAGTCTTAGGATCAAAAAGCCCTATGGAAGTTTTGTCGTCTTTCTATCCAAACTTGTCTACTACAAATAATCTTAAACCAAGAGTTTTTGGGTGCATCTCATATGTCCATATTCATAGTACAGACAGGAGAAAACTTGATCCTAGAGCCTTAAAGTGTGTCTTTGTTGGTTACTCACCCACTCAAAAAGGGTATAAATGCTACCACCCCCATCCAAAAAATTCTGTGTCTAGGGATGTTACCTTCAATGAAAAAGCGGGCTATTTCCATCAACCTTATCTTCAAGGGGAGAGTTTCAGGGAAGATAAGGAAAGTAGTGATTCTGGTTTTCCCATTCTTCCAGACTTGACATTTGAACCTAAACGAAATCATATTGAAAGTAGTAATTCTGGTTTTCCCATTCTTCCAGACTTGATATTTGAACCTAAGCAAGATCAAATTGAAGATCAAATTGAAGTTGTAACAAATGAAACAAGTCAAGGAATTGGTCAAGCAAAGGAAGTTGGTCAAGAAAGTGAAATTAATTGTGAAGCTGATCAAGAAGATGTTGAAACTGGAAAATTTGGTAAGAAGTCTGGTGTACTCAAGGAAGACTAAGGTCATTCCAGGATCAAGCCATGTTCAAGAATCCAACTCGACTCCACAAAAAGAGGTAACAATTTTTTCTCCAGCTGTGCAAGTTGAAATTGAAACCCAAAATGATCCCGACCTCCCAATTGCCATTAGAAAAGGAACAAGAAAATGCACCAAACAGACCACTCTACCCTCTCTCAAATTACCTCGTCCTTTAAAAATTTCTCTCCTACCCTTAAAACCTTCCTAGTAAACCTAAACACCGTACTTCTACCTAATACCCTATCTCGAGGCATTGTCTGACAGAAAATGGAGGCAAGCCATGGATGAAGAGATGGAGGCATTGGAGAAAAACAACACTTGGGAGTTAGTCACCTTACCAATAGGAAAGAGGTCAGTTGGATGTAAATGGGTCTATACAGATGAAATACAAGGTCGATGGATCAATTGAGAGATATAAGGCAAGACTAGTTGCCAAAGGGTTCACCCAAACCTATGGAGTTGATTATTTGGAGACCTTTGCTCCGGTTGCCAAAATGAACACAGTTAGGGTGATATTGTCCCTTGTTGCCAATTATGGTTGGAACTTGGAACAATTTGATGTTAAGAATGCTTTCCTACATGGAGACTTTGAAGAAGAAATCTATATGGAGATACCTCCGGGATATGGTAAAGATGTTGCTACCAACACTGTTTGCAAGTTGAAAAAGGCATTATATGGGTTAAAACAGTCCCCGTGCATGGTTTGGCAGTGTTTACTAAAGTTATGACAAGTCCGGGTTACAAACAAAGCCAAGGGGACCATACTTTGTTTTTTAAACATTCCAAGTCGGGGGAGTAACAATATTATTGGTGTATGTGGATGACATAATATTAACTCGGAGATAATAAAGAAGAGCAACAATTATTGAGTCAATGCTTAGGCAAGGAATTTGAGATCAAGACTTTGGGAAAAATAAAATATTTTTTGGGAATTAAAGTTGCCCACTCCGAGAAAGGGATATTTATATCTCAGCAGAAATACATCACTGATTTGCTCAAGGAAACTGGCAAGACAGCTTGCAAACCTGCTAGTACCCCATTAGAACCAAACCTAAAGCTTGGAAATGCAGAAGATGTTGCTGTTGAAAAAGATATGTACCAAAGATTAGTGGGCAGACTTATATATTTGTCACATACCAGGCCAGATATTGCCTATGCAGTGAGTTTAATTAGCCAATTTATGCATAGCCCAAAGGAGACCCATTTACAAGCTGCCCACAGAATTTTACAGTACCTTAAAGGAACTCCAGGCAAAGGGATTCTATTCAAAAGGAATGGTAATGTGAAACTTGAAGCCTATACTGATGCTGATAATGCAGGGTCAATTGTGGATAGGAGGTCAACTACAGGATATTGCACCTTTCTTGGAGGAAATCTTGTGACTTGGAGAAGCAAAAAGCGGGTGTAGTGGCTCGGTCCAGTGCTTGAAGCGTAATTCCGAGCCATGGCACAAGGTATATGTGAGTTGCTATGGCTTAAAATCATCTTAGAAGACTCGAGGATAAAGTGGGAAGAACCTATGAAGCTCTATTGTGATAATAAGTCAGCAATCAGTATAGCCCACAACCCAGTGCAGCATGATAGAACAAAGCATATTGAAGTAGACAGACACTTCATCAAAGAAAAGCTTGATAGTGGCTTGATATGCACTCCATATGTGTCCTCTCAAGACCAAATTGCAAACATTCTTACCAAGGGATTGGGCTGTCATAATTTTGAGAAGATTGTATCCAAGCTGGGAATGGAAAACATCTATTCACCAGCTTGAGGGGGAGTGTGAGAAATCAAATAGTATTTTAGGAAAGAATAAATAAGGAAATTTGTATATTTCCTTGTAATCTGTACAGATTTGAATAATTAGGAACAATCCCATAAATCAAGGGATCCTAGCATAAAATAGAGTTATTATATTTCCTAAAATAGTTTAGGTCTCTTGTATATATCTTATATCATTTCTTTGTATTGAAATAATAAAATAAATCATATTATTTTTCCAGAGTTTCTATTACAGATTTACGAGGGATTTGAGAGCTCTTTAGATATAAAGCGCTTGTCTTGTATTTAATTTGTTGTGTTTTTCGTTTTGGTTCTTCTAGCATATTTGCTCATCTTACTGGAAGTAATGTTAAAAAAATGACTGTTGGATATCATTAGAGGAAAGTATATTGAAATATAGCAAAAACAAATTAAGGACGCAGGTTTAATTACTACTTCTTTATGGTATTTATAGAAATACAGATCCTGAATTGCATGGACTCCATTTTGGCCGCCCAGATATACTATTCTAGCTCAAACTCTGGCAAGTGTCTAGTCAGCTACATGTCCTATTTTTTCAAGTTCTATCTTCTGCATTTTAACTTAGTTTATAACTGAATAATCTTTTCTTGCATTCCACTAGGGGGACTTGGACATGCATAATGGTGATATTTGTTTTTCAGGAGGGTGACAGAGTTGTGACAAAGAAAGAGGGAATAGACTTCGCCAGGGAATATGGTTGCCTTTTTATTGAATGCAGTGCTAAAACTCGAGTTAACGTTCAGCAATGCTTTGAAGAGCATGTTTTGAAGGTATGGTAAGAGGCATATACCCATTTCCGAACATTTGAGCAGTAATTGATATTCTGCATAAATTCATTGTGCATGGAAAAATGTTACTATAATTTTGTTTTCCATACCCTTTCTATGTGTGTGATTTGAACGATTTAGAAAATTACTCGTTGCAGTCATATGAAAGGAGTTTTTTCACATAAGTCTAATGGGTGACGACGATATATAGATATAATAGACACTGGTTGAGAACTAAAGAAAATTTGGTTTAGGGTTGAAAAGAATTGCATCTTTTGGAATGAAATGTTTTTTTTTTTTTTCCTTGAGTGTGTGCAGATTCTGGATACACCTAGCCTCGTAGCCGATGGCTCAAAGGGTGTAAGAAAAAACATTTTTAAGGACAGGCCACCCCAATCTGATGCATCCACAAGTAGTTGTTGCTGATTTGAAGAGGCTATTTCACTGAAAAACCTGCATTTTATGAATCTGAGCATATTTTGCTGGTTTTCTAGGATCATAGGAAGCCATTTATTTTTCTTCAGGTTCCTGTTTTGTCTTGAATATTAGATGTAACATGATGATGTTTGGTTGTCTGCAATTTTTTTTCTTTCTGGATTTCTTGTTTGTCTGAGTCATATTTAATTCCATATATTGACGTGGAAATTAAAAGAAGAAGAAATGAGTCATGGATATAGATTTTATGAAGGACACTTTAAATTGTATATAATGTGATGTGTTTTGCTTGAGATGATAGCGTGTATATTAAAACTCTAAAAATGAATAAATAATACATGAACTGATATTGTAATACTCTTCCTTTGTTGTTATCTAATAACAAATTGTCATATGTAATAATGTATTATTTTTATAATAGTTATGTTAAAGTGTATATTATTAAAGATAGTTTTTATTAGTTAATAATATCAACAGATTTATACTGTCAATTAATGAAGCATTATCTTTTTTTTAATTATTATAAAAATTTATCTAATTTATTATACACCGTAATTTACAATTGAAAGAAAAATGAATGTTTTTACCTTGGTCAATTAACTCTTGTATCAATGACTCAATTTTCGCAGTGGAAGGGACTCACATTTTCCAAAATTAGTTATTTCAACTTAGATGCCTTACTATTAATAATAAATGTACGATCGAATTATTTTTAAAATTTCAATTCAAATGATATAATGAATAGTTCATTGGATTGAGAAGGGACTTTTTTGTTTGGAAGTATAAAAATCGTGAGATACGGAAGAAATTTCTGTGTATGAAAGATTTGTCAATCACGGAAAAAAATGTTTGATGGTGAAACTTTCGGGTCAAAAAAGTAAGTTCCTTGTCTATTTGTAAAAAACTTTAAAAAAATTATGAAAAAATTATGGAGGGTTTAACTGATTCACATACATATATATTTATGACGAAATTATATCTTACAAAGGGTTGGAGAAAAAGTGGTTAATAAATTATATGACCATTATTTAATAGTTGGAAAATGGTCACCAGATTTTTTTGTCATTAATCGAATTGGATGTGGTTTTCCAAACTTAAATATGATTTCTTTTGACAAAAGTGTATTGTTTCCATTGGTTACCGATAAATCGGTTAAAATTGATACGTAAACCTTAACATGATAGAAAGAAGATAAATCAGAATTTGTATTGAAATTGCCTTGATTCTTTTAATGGTACATCAGGATACAAAGAACTATTTGTGCCACTTGTGATTGTTGTGAGCATGTATCCCATAATTGTCCTACAAATTCATGGTCGATGACATCAACCATCTAATGTTGAGGTTGAGTGGGAACCTCTCTTACATATTGGATATGTGGTATCAAATCGATAAAACAAACTTAAATCTTATCAAAACTGTGAAATAATGATAATGGTTCAGTAAGAGACCTTTTCTCATGTAAAATGATTAATTGTGTGAAAAAAAAAGAAAAAATCTTTCAAAAAAAAACATTTTTAAATAAAGTTGCTGCTAATAATTGTTTAAGAATAAAAGTAAATATTTTATTATGAATTTTAAATCTGAATTAAAATAGAAAAAGTTGTTTAAAATTTAAAAAAAAAAGTTACTCACATAAATAATTTTGAAAAAATTTTAAGAAATTTAACCGTAGGACCTATAATAAAATATTCAATTTTATTTTTAAATTTAAAAACTTTCTTTTAGAGGTGTTTCGGTGGAATTTCGATCGATTTCAACTCCCGAGATACTTTGATACTAACCAAAATTCTACCACGTAAGTTCTTTTTACTTAGGCTAGCAAATTAATCTTCAATCGAAATGCATACGAGGATAGAATCTTACCAAGTATCGAAAATGCTACTTTTTGGTGTTTTATTTTTAAGATGCAGAAAGCAATGAAATGTCGAATCGAAAAACAATACGGAATATTAAATTGCTGAAACCCGTAAAATGCAGAAACCTTAACAGTACATTGAATGTAAATGACAAGAAATCGAAAGAACAGAAATGTAAATAGCAAGGAATCATGATAGTAGGAAATATACTGGAAATCGAAATTGCATTAATGTTAAAGGACAAGGAAACTTAAACGCGGAAACTTAACTTTGTTTGAATTGAAATGACAGAGAATCGAAAGTACAAAACATAAAATTGCCGAATATAAGGTGCATCAAAACAAATTACCAAGGAAAGTAAAGAAAGCGGTAAAGGTACTCGATGAGCATGGAAATCCAGATTGCCAGAAGCTTCATGGTGTTCGTCATTTTCCGGTAGACTTCTCACTACTGATTCTGTTCTCTGCCAATTTTCTGCTCCCCTATTCCTTCCTCCTCTGCTCTATTTATAGGGCATCATTCAAGCCTTCTAGGAGCAGTTAACAAAACTACTACCACGTTCTTCGTGCGCGTTGCAGTTTCTTCTTCTATGGTGTTAAAACTGCACCCACGTTCCCATGATCTTCATCCTCTGCCACGATTTAGAAACTGTTTCTTATGTGCATGTTTAACTCCTTCTCTTTAAGATCTGGCCATGATTTTGATATTTATGCGGGTTAACCTTTCTTTCGATTTAGACTTCGATTTTATTGAGAACTTTGGATTACTTTTGATTTCTTTTAACCTTAGCATCATATACTTCTAATTTCTTGGTTTGTTCCACAATAAACTTTTGACTATTATTTCTCCGATTCCGACTCTAACTTTCGATTTTATGTGCCATGCCCTTCTAATTGGACATCGAATGGTTTCTCATCCACCTTTTCGCTTTACCGATCAGTCACATCCAATTTGTTTCTCGATTTTTCTTTCCTTCATTTTTTCGATCGCTTTTCTCAATTTCCTACTAACAAAATGCCCCCTTGGAAGAATATAAATAGTTTTTGTTTATATTCTTTCAACGTGATTCCCGCCTTTGCTTGTTAGAGGCCCACAAAACTTAGGGTTTAGGGTTTTTGGGGTTCTAGGGTTTACATGGTTTTCAATTTTCCTTTTGCTTTATGTCGTCATCGCGTCAGTCTGCTGTCTTACTGTACACGCTACATTAATTACCTTTCACCTCCGTCGTTTCCAGCCCCCTAGGCTATTTTCCCTTTAAACTCTCTATTGGTTTTTTACTTTGGTTTTTTACGCGAACTTTTACCTCTTTGCAACTTCGTCTTCCTCCTTGTGCTCTTATCTTCGTCCCTACGCCTTCATCTCTTACCTTGCTTTTCTTCATCCTACCAGTTACTGAAATGGCCACTTCCTCCAAATCTTCTGACTTTTCCGCTCCACCCCTTCCTTCCTTGGCATCAAACCTGCTGGAGATCAACAATCAGAAGTTCGCTCCAGTCCCTCTAATGGAGGAAGCCTCTCGGAAAATTGCTGAGACGCAGGTACTTATTCCTTACACTGCTGATGGTGTTAATTACGCTTTTGGGGGTCCTCTTCGTCCTATTGATGGAACCTTTTCTCCCCTCAACCTCTCGAATAGTTCGGCTCTTGTACACCAACCTGAAGTTAAGATTGATTTCTTGAACCTTGTCTCTAAGGTGTATCGGACAGGCCCACCTTCCAAAAAACCTTTGTACATTAGATGGTTTGATAGGGTTAAAGCTAAATTCGGGGATCATTGGAGAAGTGTGGGAATTTTCGATTTTTTGCACCTGTCCCGATGTGACTTATCTTATTTGGACATGGCTATGTTCTTGGCTGCTGTTCATTTGTGGAATAAGGAAATACATGCCCTGGAATTACCTTGCGATCCTCTTTCGCCTACCCTTTTGAAGTCGTGGCCATTACTGGATTAGAACCTATAGGGGAAAGATATTTTAAAGGTGCATGTCCCTCGGATAACTCTCTAAGATCTAAGATCGATTGGGAATCGAAAGCTTATGGACATTTCCTCGAGAAACATTTCGTCGATGATGAATCGATAATCATGAATCGATGAAGAGCATATCGCCTTTTTGGTGTATTGGTTGTGTACCCACGTGTTTTGCCCTCGATCGATCCAAATCTCCTCCCATCTGTTTGACCTTGCATATCTCCTTCACCTAGGCCAACCTAGAATATGTTTGGCCAAATTTTTGTTAGCACATGTACATACTGCTTTCGACGAGGCCGTCGAAATTTTGAGTACTCCTAAAGCTTCGGAAATTTCTCCGGCCCTATTTGGTTTATACAAGCTGTGGCTAAATTCAATTTTTGAGAGTATCCTTCCCCCAACTTCTACCGTCCCCCCAAGTGTAAATATAGAAGGGGCCCGATTGTCTTCTCGCCATCCTCACCAAAAGTCCGATGAAGCTGCTTATTGTAGATACCTCAACTTTTTGTTAACTAAAGTTAATTTCGATTCAACTTTGGCTCCTTTTACCGTACATCTGGGATGAATAAGTGACCAACTCAGGGTGCCGATTTGGTTTAAGTCGAAATTTCCTGCTTCAACTCCTGGGTTGCAATTAGAGTTGGTAGATGTATGGAATAACTATTTAACTCATGATATACTAGTATCGGGTTTCCAATCCAAAGAATTCAAGTTCATTACTTACTACCCTCAAATTTTCTCGAGGCAATTTGGTCTGAGCCAGTCCTTACCCTTCTTCCCCTTAGATATTTCCCCAAGGTCCAAGTTAATTGAATCGACAATCGGACGGGAACTTGTCAAGTTTTTGCCAAAAACTCCGATGCATTTTTACCCCTATGTTTTTGAATCAAATTATTTATCGACTGTGGGTTTTTCTCAATGGTGGGCTATTTGGTTCTCGAGTAATCATGCTGCTTTTGACGAGGTCCGACAGAAATTGACCGCTCATCCTTCTTTTGTGTTGCAGGACAAATCGAAATCGAAGAAAGGTATACACTTCCACTGTCTCCAAATATCTCGATTCGAGAATTTTTATCAAATATGTTATAACCCACTGAAATTAGAATCGAACTTTTACGATGTTGTTATCTCCTTATCCTATAAAACATACACTAATCGATCGA